AGTATGACACTGGGAACATATCCACAAGGGATATGTTCCCAGTGTCTATAATAATGATCCCCATTGAAGTGAATGACTTTCACTGGAAATTACAATAGAATATTCCTAGGGAGGATATATTTTGCCAGATGTGGGTAGGTGCAGTCCTGCAAGTACATGGATGGTATGGTACAACAACATTTTATTATGGTCCAAAGACCCTTATAGTACCATAGACATACAAGATACGCAGTTAATGAGATTAACATTCTGCTCTGGTTTGGGTGCCAGAGCAGGCTGCTGCTGGCCCAAGGAGCTCCGTCCACTGCTTGTTGACATAGAACACTTTTCATAGACATTTGATATCTTCCTCTCTTCAGGAAAGTATTTTCTCAGCCGCCCTATTATAGATATTAAGTTTTGCTGATAAGAACCACTTCGGTACAATATTCACCTATCAACATATGAAACTATGAGATGATTACACTCCAAAAGTGATATAAGGTCCAACCTTTCCTGAACACAAATCATTTCCAGAAACTAACAATACTTCCCTTCAGTTGCACAGGTGTAGCACTATGATTCCAGTTGACTTGCTATGGTTGCGCCCAATGAAATTACAAGCTTTGTAGCAAGAGGAAGCACTACAGCTTTCTGGCTAAGAACTATAGTTCTATAACTGAGCAGTATGAAGTAACTAGATGTGCATTGTAAGTGGAAATACAGAAAGCCAAGCCTAATTATTCAGATACTTCAATATTGCAGGGCCTATCCCTCAAGCAGAAAATAGTAATCTACCACTTTTGTTAATCAAGTGGATAGGTTTTGCATCCCTGCTCATCCTCTAATTCACCCCCTTGAATTCTTTATGCTTTTGTTTATTGCTTATTCAAACTCTAGTAACAGCAGATGTCATAATGTTCTCTAATGTATCAACTGCTATTTATTTACCTACTTACGGATACCTAAATAAGCTTCTTACAGGCAAGGAATGAGTTAAGCATTTCCTTCTTTTCCCCTAGTAAACTGACAATCAAGCCAAAGGAGGATAAAGTCAAGGACATTTGGAGAGGAATTATTGGAACCGACTCCGGAAAATGAAGCTGGCAAACAGGGGGCCTCTCTCCCTTCGGTATCCCTTCCCAGCAATCCTGCTGGAATTTCTGCTGGGAATACCTATCAGGCTTGTGCTGCGTTTCCTCCAGTGGATTAGGCCTCCGCCACCGCCATGGCTGCTCCATTTCAACTAATTGTCTCCGATGTTGCCATTCCTTATCCCCTTAATGAGAAACACAACTTTCCTTCACAGCCACCGCCGCAAGAACCTGGCAGGCAAGTGGAGCCCTGAAGATCAGCAGATGCAGGACTGTAAAACAGTGGTTTGTTCTCAACTGAAATTACACAGAAAGGGCAAGTGATTCCAAACAGCTTCAGACCTGAAGTAGGCTGAGAGCAAGCAAGGCTCACACCAGTAATGAACACTGACAGGCTGATGGCTTGGTGCTGGGTTACCTGATGCTTCAGGCGAAGAGTATTTGCCGCGATGGCCAACCATTTTGGTTCAGATGTTTTCCTGTGGGTTTGGTAACACTCAGAAGCCTTCAGTGCCACCCTCAGCAGAACATGACTGGCCCACCTCCTATTTCGAGTGTGATTCAGAACAAAGTGTATGCAGAAAGCCATAAATCTCAGCTTGTGGGAAGACTGAACTCCCCAACACAAAACCCACAAATGCGCCATTGGAAATTTTCCCCCACAACTTCCAAGCTATACAAGGGGGAGGTGGGGGCAATACATTTACAGGGTTTACACAGAGGATTCAGTTTTCACACAGGCCGTAAAATGATTTACGCTTTTATTGCATACATTGGTTGATGGTTTCATGCATATATTTTGGATATTTGTTGCAGTCATTTGGTTTAATCTCATACAATTTCATCTGGACCACAGCTGGAAAGAGAAGAGAAAACTTTTCCCACACAAGATATATTCAAGAGCATAATTACTTCTTCCTCCCATAGACTTCTAATTTATAAATATATCAAAAAATATAGAGATACTCTGCACAATAAGTGTAAAGTGGTGTCCGGCAATCAGCTTTATGCTACATGGTGAAGACATGATGTTGCACTGAGGAACTATTACTTTAACGTGGATGGTTATTGTTTGCTCAAACATGAAAAAAGTTCAGAAGTATCTATTATTATTATTATTATTATTATTATTATTATTATTATTATTATTATTAAACTTTATTTATACCCTGCCACCACCTCCCCTCAGGGACTCGGGGCAGCTAACATGAGGCCAAGCCCAACAAATACAGTAAACAAATAAGATACATGTAGCAAATAATTAAAATTAAAATCACAATAAACATTAAAATGAAGTACAACAATAAAACAGTAACATACAAACAATAAAAGGAAATTAGCATAATGGGATATAACACCGGGTATGAAATAAAATAAGATTAGGGATAAGGAGTTAATCAGAATGGGTTGGGCCAAGGTGTGAAGATAAAAACAGGGGACATAGGACAAGATAGGATAACCTAAGTGATTTAACGGGTGGGAGGTACGGGGGGACAAGCTATGGGGTTTAATTACTCGATAAGAATGAGGTGAGGTGCATCAAGAGACGAGTATATGTTGGGATGGTCATGGTATGGGGGTTATTGTTCATTAATCAAAAGCAAGGTTTTCAAGTAATAAGTATGATATTATGAAGTATGAGTTACAATGGACTACTTTCTTGCACACCCAAAAGCTATTTCATATTTTTTATCTTTTTCAAAGTGGGCCACAAAGTGGGCCACAAAGTGGAGTCCACGACATGCAAGTGTGGAGAAGAGCAAACCACAGACCACATATTACAATGCAGTCTGCACAATGGAGGACCTCCTTACAGCAACACCAGAAGCACTCCAAGTGGTCACCTACTGGTCAGAGGACATTTAATATAACGGCAAGTTTCTAAACTTTGTGTTTTTTAAAAATATATTACAAATGTATCCTTGGTTTGTTCCTGATACAATAAATAGATAAATTCTTTTCAAATATTCCAGTTTAAAAATAAGTTACAGCACTCTCCCAATCCCAAATATATTGTCAGAAAAAAGGATTCTGAATATGTTTTCACAAGAATTTTCTCCTACTACCATTGGAGTTGAATGGGGCCAATGTGATCTGTCCTCCTACAGCTATTTTAGAATTAGGAGAAGCCTGTTTGAAAAACAGAGTGAAATCTCAGCAGTTAATCCCAATAAAAGTAATTTATTTTAAGTAAACAAATCCAATTGTAAAATAGGGTTTCAACACATACGTTAATCCAACTGATTAGAAATCTCTGCTCTAGCTACTCTACTGCAACTAACAGAATTGTAGCCATTGTGCATTTAGGAGGAAGTACTGTTCCCATGCCCATAACAGAGCAGCGTAAAGAGGCTTTACAAATATGTTATGTACAACGGAAACAGAATGAATTTAGGCTGGCACCTACTTTTCTTCTAAATTGATTTCCCTATCAAAATCTTCCCTGATACATCAAAGGAAATGAGAAAATTGTAATATCAATGGCGAAGAAAAAACCATATATTGAGTCATCCCACTTGTTTTTAGAAATGCTATATATTTTTGTTTTTCAAAGAAAATTGGTTTCACAATCATAGATGCTGATAAATAAGGACAACACTTATATTGGAGAATGGAAACAGTTTTTTAAAGGTTTGGAGTATAAAAGTACAATGAAATGCTTTAGGACACTTATCTGATGTTATTTTTAAAGGGGACGTCCAGTGAGACTTCTTTATATTAGCAAAGAGTATAAAGATTGTGCTCATTCACTTAATTCTTTTGGATTTTAGATGGGTAGAGGTGGATATTTCAGATTAGCTTTCGCTGACAAATCTGGGTTTTTCAGTATTGCAGCCAATTGTAGTTTCTGACAGAAGCTATCTGTCATTTTGTACAGTACTGATTTTCATCCTACAAGCATAAGAAAAACTGCACAACCAAAGTGCCTAAAAAGAAGGTACTGTGGGTGACACTGGAAAAACACATAGACAAGAAAGATGGCATAGTTTTGAAAAGGTAAAACCATCCGGTGAGCAGTGTTGAGGGCAAAGAAACTAGGATAACTTTCAGTGTAGTATGTGGCTGAGCAGAAATACAAACTAATCCTAGATTTGGCTGAGTATATCAGGATTTAAAATAAGAGCAATCACATATTCAGGGCTGTAGAACAATAAAGCGTACAAATAAAATGTTATGGATGTATGCATGGTTACCACAAGAAATGAAAAAGCATATAGAACGGTAGGATAAGAGTCTATTGACCATAGTGTTACCCTCAAACAACAAAATGTTTGCAACGAAACTTTCACTGATCAAAAATGTAACATTTCATACCAAGAGGACAGAGCTTTCTTGCTCATTCTTTCACATGGGAGAGATTTCAGATGGGTTGCAGTGACAAGTGTCACTCAAACCAGATTCTGATACAAGCAGCCTGTATAATTCAAAAGAAAGACTCTGATGTTGTGTCATCTGTTTGCCATGAACTGCCACTTTTTGTAGCCAAAAGTGCAGCAAAGAATGTGATCTAAAGACAGCTTTGGAACAAAACGTGTAATTAAACACTCTTCCATAAAATACGAGACAATTTGCTTTGTAAACATTTCCTGAGCACTTCTAATTGGAACATCCCAACCAACAGCAAGAACACTTTTTACCAGGATGCTTCATGTCGTATTTCCTGTCTCTGGCTTGAGGTCTGCGGTGTTTATCCACTTATCGCGTTCAGGCTCAAATGAAGAGAACTATTGAAATTCCTGGTATGCCCCAAATAGTTATATAAAATTAGTGGGAAAATAGCTTCTGACAACAACAGCTGAGTGGCCCTCAAAAAGAGGATTTCCTTAATTCAATTGAAATAGCATAATTCTGATGCCAAGAGATATGATACAGCTTATTTAGCAAGAAAACGTTTGATTATTCCATTTAAAAGGCAGAGAAATAAACTCTTAAGAAATAAATATATTTTATTTATAGTTTTGGTGTAAGGTTGTCCTGGCCAAAGGAAAAAAGTGTAGGTCTATACATCTGATGAAGAAGTTTGGATAGCTCAGAATCTTGCGCGTCTCCGTCCACCTCATATGGTGTTGTGCCACTTCAATAATTTTAAGTGAGCTATTCTCAATTCACAATAAACTCTTTTTAGAGGGTGAGATGGTACAGTGGATTTTGAAATGTAAAAGCTTTTCCCTCTCATCATCCCCAGCACATGTTCTTCAAAGCTTTCAAGTTTACTTTACCATCAATCACTTACTTAATGGGTTTTAGTTATCTTGTGGCACTTAATTCTAAACAGGAAACCACAGTAACATTCAGAAGATAAAAAGATTAGAATAGTTTATTTCTATTACCTGTCAGTGTATTGCACACATACCCAATCCAAGTGAATGATGGAAACGCCTTCCCGAAACAGCTTTCAGAATCTGCAGATCATTTTTGACAAAAGAACTCTGAAGTATAAGCACCACTTCTTTAAATGCTACATGTATGCACTGATCATATTTATCTGAACTGAACATGATTTCACTACAGTAAAGAAATGGGAATGAGACATTAATCTAAGTGTGAAACTTCCACTGCGGCCCTCTTCTCTATGACGATAGAAAACATGAAATGAGCAAGTGTATTCAATAAAAGGAATACTGGAATGATATCTTAATACTACCATAAATTGTATTTTTTGTAATCAGAACATGAATCCAACAAATGCTACAATATCTTTCTTTTCAAACCTCATTGAACAAAAAGGCTGGCAAACCTGTAGTAAAGTCAATGATAATTTTGGCCCTCAAAGGAGGCAAGTAAGTCAACTGTGTGCAGAATAGGTGGATGAGTTCTGTGCAAAACAGGGAGAAGTCTGAAAAGAAGTTAGCAATGCACTCTTTACCCAGTTTTAAAATGTAAAAGATTTCAGTGATAACCAGCGATTTTAGAAAAGGAATACTTTCTGTTGGATTTAAGAACAGTTTGTGTGTGTTTGTGTGCCTGTCTCTGCATGAATGTAATTTCCATGGAACAAATAGCTGCCTGCCATTTCAGTAGACCCAAGTGGAAAATAGCAGTGGTTGCTTTGAGACTGTACAGAGATTGCTACTTTGCCACGTTTTGAAGAGTCTAGTGCTTGAGTCATACCAGGAATGGAGATTTCTCTCTGTGACTTCTCTGGGTAACACATCCTGGCACATTTCTCTATAACGCGATGCTTTCCTTAGCATCGGTCCTGTTTCTGAATTGGAGCTCAGTGTTGTCCAATCCAATTTTGATAACAGCTATTCTTCACAAGCTTCCAATGTTAGGAAAGCTCTTCAGTTTTTCAGGGAAGTCATCTTTGTACAACACGGGATCAGCCCGGTGCTCCACCACTTTCAAAGGCATAGTCCCAAAGACAGAGGCAAACTTGTTAATGCATTCAGACCTAGGAAAAGAAATAATGCAGTGATTAGCAACAGAATTGCCTTACTGTATATTTAACATGACGTTGGAGGCATCTATGGACAATGCCAGCTCTTTGGCTTAGAAATGGAGATGAGCACCACCCCCCAGAGTCGGACACGACTACACTTAACGTCAAGGGAAACCTTTACCTTTACTACTTATTAGCTAGCTCACAGTAACTCAGTGTTCACTCAAAGTGTCCTGTCCACAAAAGTTACCAGTGACAGAAGGGAAATTATGTACACAGAAGGAGTTGTCCATAAACTGTGAAGAGTCTGGTGATGTCTTAGAATCCAATGGCATAAGTTTTTGCAAGTTATAGCCTACTTTGTCAGAGGGAGCAAAGAGGAGTTGGAGCCTCTCCCAGTACAGGATTTGGCGGAGAAGTGAATTTCTTTGATTGAAGCAGTTAATCAGAGCAAAGAGAAGAGAGATGCTGTCAGCTGCACATGTGCAGAGAGAGGTCAACACTTCCTTGCTCCCTCTCCACCAGAATTCCAGGCATTCTTTAGGCAATGTACATGCTGTAAATGAGGGCGGATTAGCTGCCAACATATCCCTTAAAGAGCCACTGTCAGGTCAAATTTGGCTCAGCACATAGCTTGCAAAAATAAGCATGGAACCAAAGGAATACGGAAATATTTGATAGCCATTGTTTTTTAATTTTAAAAATACTCACTAGAGAAAGGGTTTCCCCCCACACTCATAAGATAAACAAGCACTTTCTTGCACTGATTGTTCCTGAAAGCTTAAAGCACAACATTTCTTTACAAACCAAAATCTGAAATGGACTGGTTTATTTTCATTGCCCAAGCTAAGTGAAATAAAGTATTTTTTTTAAAGCATGTTAGATGCTGACTCTGCCATTTACTCATCCATGAGACACAACAATGGTAGAAATAAGGAATGCAACAGATTTCTTTTAGAAATATAACTGTGAGAACTCTAATGCCTAGAATGTATCTAAGTATATGTTAAAAGAGCCAAGGCCTACACATAATGTATTCAACAGACACTGTGTGGTTCCCTATTTCTTCATTCTTTTTTTTTTTTTTAAATGTATTTAAGATACTTATTAAATACTAGAAAATCTATTCCACAGATGCCTGTCAACATTCTTTATGACGTGGACTGATGCTTGCAACATTTTCAGTCTACATATTTTTACCTCAAGTTCCATGTACTCTTCACTTCCTCTGTGTAGCCCACCCTTTCCCTAGCACACTTGAGTAATCCATGCCAGATAGTTGAGACAGTGTCATGACGGAAGACATTTTAAGAAAGGAATGGGATTATGACCAAAACAGTGATAACACTATGAAAAAGTGGCCCATTGGTTGAGGAAACAACAACAGTTGTCAGGAAGGTCATTTAGAGCAAAGCTTCTTAAACTGTGGGTTGTAGCCCAAAATGGCATCACTGTAACTCAGTGGTTCTCAACGTGTGGGTTCCCAGGTGTTTTGGCCTAAAACTCCCAGAAATCCCAGCCAGTTTACCAGCTGTTAGGATTTCTGGGAGTTGAAGGCCAAAACACCTGGGAACCCACAGGTTGAGAACCATTGCTGTAACTTAATGTGATAGTCCCAACAAAATTGGCAACAGTAAAAGTTTCTGAATGTCAGCTAGCGACTATTGTAGACATTTACATGAATCTGATAACAACAACATATTGTTTACAGTGGACTCTGCAGAAAATGCTTCAGATGTACTTCATAAAATGGAAAACCAGTCTGTTTAGCAAACCTTGCAAATGCTTATTTTGGTTTGATGGCTATTTTTTCAGTTTGAGAAATACCTCCCTTCAAATTTTGATTCAAAAAAACTAAGTTGGGTTCATAGATTATATTTAATTGAAACAAAAAATACCAGTCATCTGCCATTAAAACTTCAAGATTAATTTTCCTGCAACCTATGCTGGAAAGGAAGGGTTACTACTAAGAGGGAAGTAGGTGTAGGCCCATTTCAGGCACATGGCTGACTCTGCAACCTGGTACCTTTAAAGTTGGAGGTATGTACCCCCAAAACACCCAACTGTGCCCTTCCTCAAATTCAATAGAAAAAAGGAGAGTCAACAGTGTATATTATGCTACTTCAGGCTGCAAACAAACCATTCAGTGTGCCGTGAAAAACACTGACTATGCTGCATGAGTTGCAGTATCAAATATTCAGTCAATATTTACTTCTTTATGTAAAAATAAACAAGCACGTCCATCTCAATTGTATATAATTTGTTTTCATTTTTAATACATGGTAAAATTATATGTATACCAAATAATTATTTTAAAATACAGTTATTCATGATTTATTATAGAAAAATGTTTGATTTGCACACCTATTTTACACATCTGTATACCTGGGGTCATACAAAAAAATTTCTCAGACAAAAAGGAGTCACAGATCAAAATAGAGAACTATACAACACTTGAGTGTTCCATTTGCTAAGGCTGCAAGGACCCTTTTCAGTTCTTTAGATTAGGGAAACTCAGAGTCTATACGCATGCAAGGTTTAATCAGCAAACATAAGAAAGCAGTTTCCAAACATAACCAATCCTACTTCTACCTCTGCAAAATGAAAAAAATATATAGCAAGAGTGCCATAACATCAGTATGTTAGTTCTTTAATATCCTGTGTGAAATGAACTTCAACTTGATCTCCTCCTTGGGGAGGGTAGGCATCTGCATGACAAAAGCTATTGATATAAATGGTAATGTGGCATCCTGTAAACCAAGTGGATATTAAAGCCAAATGTGCTTTCTATCCTTTAGGCATGGCACATCTGGATCAAAGATGAAGCATCAACACAAGCTGACAAAAGAAATATTGCCTGCACACTACCAAAGACAGAATGGGTATGTTCACCTACTTCTCCCCCCCCCCACCCCCACCAACACACACACACACACACACACACACACACACACACAGAAGTTGATTCTCATCACCATCTCCATTTATATTTATTGGAGAAGTGGTGCCAACAAAGTGTAGTTTTAGAATCTTTCAGATTGGAAAAACTAGACACAAGATCTAAATGAGGAACAACCAAGATCGGTTCTGCCCTTTGATATTCTGATGTAAAGATATTAATGTCAAAATGAAGAATATTCAGAGAGTAATTCTCAACCCAAATTCAGCATGGACTTATTTATGATTCCCATACAGGAGAAGCTCCTGCCGTCTCCTATTTTTCAAAATTGAAACAAGTTGCAGCCTAATAAGAATATGGAAGGTGGGGGTTCGGGGGGGAAGGGAAGCTTCATTTATTTCTAAGGCTCATGATGTAGTGTCTGAGATCCTTGTTCAAGAAATACGATAAGATTTATTTCACATTTAAAGTTTGCAAGGTATCCACCACATCCCTTAGGAAACTATTCTATAGCATAAGATGACAAGATTAAGCACTGTTTCCTGATAGCTTTTCCTGAATTTAATCCCCTTATATCACATTATGTATCCTTATGCCCCTCTAAATAGCTTATCGCCATGCTTGCTGTTTACACATTTAAATACTTGGACGCTTATACTTATTTAGTTATTTCTTATCCAGGCTATATATACTTGACTTAATCTCATCTCATAAATCAAGCTTTCCTACAGCCTATGACAGTATCCGTTCCTGCAGTGATGTCTAACCTCTCAGTTAAACTTGGACTTGGAAAGAACATAATAAAGTGAAAACAAAATTCTCATTATAAGATTGCAGGAAAGAAAGAGCACATACATATAGTAATAGTATTCTTCAAGCAGTGACCAACAGGACATTAGGCCTACATAAAACTAGAGAACTTTGAAATATGCTAAAATGTCTATACATAATGCAATTTGTTTTTAGACACATGTAGTATTAGTATTCTCCAACAGCCTTTGTAGCACACAGTAAGCATCACTGAAACTTATTCCTGAAAGGAGTATTATAAGCTTTCAACGGTTAACCACAAAACACATTCTATGGAAAGGGGCATTCTATCTTAATAGCTACTATCAATATTTAATTTTTAGATAAATGCTTTCATAATAAAATTGATTATTGATTTATATACCTACACACTGCTATTTTAATCATCAGAGATCAGCTAATTATTTCTCCACTTTATTCCTGGTCTTCCAATTTATTCTTGATTTTATTTCTTCACTCAAATAAGACAATTCACTTTAATTTATTTGAAATAATGATTGCATGCACTTTTTATCGTGTCAGAAACGATTTGAGAAACTGCAAGTTGCTTCTGGTGTGAGAGAATTGGCTATCTGCAGAGATGTTGCTCAGGGGATGCCCATCATGTGAGAGGCTTCTCTCATGTCCCCACATGGGAAGCAGGAGCTGACAGATGAGTGCTCACCCCGTCACAAAGCACAAGAGTTTAACTCATCTCACCACCACGACATGCACTATTGCTATACACCCATACTGTGGATGTGATCACCACATGAACAATGTACAAAAACAGAGCTATAGAGTTTGAGATTTTCAACTGATGTCATGACCAACTCCTGTTTCATGTTAAAACCTCTGTGGTGGATTAGATTTACATAACAGTACTTCCAAAATTAAGCACTGCCAGAGGGTGGCCCTCAATTACTGTATGGTCCTAAAGCTTTTCTGCAATCCTTGTTCCCCAGCCCCAAAGGTTACCACAAAGTGGGGCTAAATGACAATTTACCATTTAAAATGTCTGCTCCCCAATCTACTGTTTAAAATTAAAAATACCCATTTCAAAAAAACCAGAACCAGGCTTCAAGTAACTACTGGTTTATTTCAGGGTGAGGAGAGCAGGCAGAAGTCCTTGCAGCTCCTCAAGAGCCCGAGGGGCAGAAAATTGGCTCTTTATTTATTTATTTATTTACGACATTTATATGCTGCCCTTATCACCCCGAAGAGCTTACAAGATATATATAGATACAATATATTATACTATTAGCATAGTACAATATCAGTATTATATATTACTGTATTGTACTATACCATTATATTGTAATATTATTAGTAATATTACATGTAATATAAAATAAAGCAGCAATAGGAAACTTTGCCAGGCCAATTAGATTTGATGCAGATGACCAAGATGGTTTTAAACAGTATATTTTAATATTGAAACAAATGTTTTGAATGTTTATGTATGCATCTAATGAATTCTTGTCCCGGCACTGAATGTTTGCCGTATATATGCTATGCTCCGCCTTTAGTCCACTTCGGGGTGAGAAGGGCAGAATATAAATGTTTCAAATAAATAAATAAATAAATAAAATAATATTGTATCGTTATTAGTATTATATTTTATTACTATATATATATATATATATATATATATATATATATATCTAGCCATCCCCTGCCACGCGTTGCTGTGGCCCACATGGGGGTTCTGTGTGGGAGGTTTGGCCCAATTCTATTGTTGGTGGGGTTCAGAATGCTCTGTGATTGTAGGTGAACTATAAATCCCAGTAACTACAACTCCCAAATGTCAAGGTCTATTTCCCCCAAATGCCATCTGTGTTCATATTTGGGCGTATTGAGTGCTTGTGCCAAGTTTGGTCCAGATCCATCATTGTTTAAGTCCACAGTGCTCTCTGGATGCAGGTGAACTACAATTCCCAAGCTCAAGGTCAATGCCCACCAAACCCTTCTAGTGTTTTCTGTTGCTCATGGGAGTTCTGTGTGCCAAGTTTGGTTCAATTCCGTCGTTGCTGGCGTTCAGAATGCTCTTTGATTGCAGGTGAACTATAAATCACAGCAACTACAACTACCAAATGACAACATCATAATTTTTTGAGTGATGGTCACTCCTTGTGTTGTGAGACGTTTTGTTGCCAAATTTGGTGTGATTTCGTTCATTGGTTCTTTTGTTTTTAAGGTACTCATTATGCACAGAGCATTTATATATATATATAAATCCATATGTGTGTGTGTGTGTGTGTGTGTATAAATCCTTGGACCTGTTATCATTGTAAATACAGTGAATTATTATTATTATTATTATTATTATTATTATTATTGTATCCCACTACTATCTCCCTAACGGGACTCAGCACAGGGTGCCTAAAAATAGAAGATAAAATGAAAACAATTTAAAAATACTATTAAATAGAACATATAGGCACATAAAACAAAAATTAACACTCAATTAAAAACACTGCATATTGGCCAATGGCTGTAAGCTACTATAAACGTGGCCAGGCTGTAAACGATCGAACAGGGAGTGGGGTAAGTGCAAAGCTGTAACCATGGGAAGAGGGCATGGGATAAAGCGCAAGGCTACATAACAATTGTGTAGGTCAACTAGAAATTAGGCGTTCTCAAAAGCTTGTTTATTCTAATTAAATATAAACTGAAGAGGAAATAGTGGGAACGGCAAAAGGAGAAGAACTCACCTTTCTACCATGTGTGTCTGGTCTAGAGATAGCCCATCAATGGCTGTACATTCTGGACATTTGAATTTCTTTCTGGGGGTCACCTGATCAATGTCAATACGACAACAACATGGTTAATAATGCAGACATTAATCCCCTTGCTCAGATGAGCAGCCCCTTGCACATATTTGACATGTAAGTCAAACTCAAGAAGGAAAAACATTTATGACATTTAGTTCCATCTGGTCTAGTTGATTGCAAAGCTTGCAATGGCCCAATAAAAAAAAGGCTTGGAGGGGTTTCGCCTTCTGTAAGTGGAAAGTAGTGGTGATGACAAGCTCCTTAATTCCTGTTTAATGACTGTTTTCTCACTGCCAAGGTCCCTGTATAAACACCATTTGTTCTTGCAGCCATAAGAGCGATGAAATATAGCTTCCCATACTTCACCGTAACCTTAATCCAACAGACACACTTTGCTCACTTAATAGCTGACTGGCAAACTCTGTGAGGCTCTCCCAACTGCACCGAGGTGCCAAATTACTCTGCAGTGCCCCTACAACTCTCACAGCAAATACATATGCTTTATCTTCTAAGGCTTTTCTAGGAAACACAACCACTGGTCTGGCTAAATGATGATGGACAGGCAGGAAAGCCGACCCTGCTAATTGAAGTAATGCCTGGAGGCCCCTAAATCTCATCCTGAGTTGACATGCTTTGAAATGAGCAGACAAAGTGAACATCCAAGCCAAAAAAATGTGTTGGAACATGTCAAGGAATTAATTGGGGGATAAAAATTCATTTAAAACTGATCTTTCAATTAACATTCTTGCAATTAACATTCTCCTAAATGAGCTGTTACAATTGAGACAGAATAGGGACAGGGTGAGTTTGGATTTTTCCTCCTTTTAACTGTGTTTGGTAAATGTGCACTGTTGCACATTTATCTGATTTGAATGATCACAGCCCAGCAGAGCATGCATGATTTATTATCCCAGTGTTTTGGTAATGGCAAGGAAATGGGCTCTTGGCAAAGTATGTGGGACTATCCCAAAAGGAAATTAGAAGAGAGGTACAGAAATAGGCTGTTGTATTCAGCACAGCACTAACAATTTATGACACTGTAATGTTACCTAGTTGCAAGAAAACCTTACCTTAATGACTGCTTTCCCAGTGACATTGGCAACTAGAAAATTCATGGCAATGTCTTCACAATTCATATGAGCATCCACCCAGTTCTTGATGTCCCCTGGCATTTTGTATGTGTACAAGTAGTTAAAATACTGCAGAAAGGGAATTTATGGATATATACAATCAGTTGCAGGCTTCTTAAAAGGTCAGTAATAGAAACAAACACAGCATCCTGAAAGTACTGGAATTATACATAAAAGTTATTTGAACATTACTTTTAGGGTAGCTTTCACAAATTCAAATTACAGTAATTAAAAAAAAACTTTGCTGAGTTCAATGGGGCTCATTCCCTCACAAGTGGTGTCATTTTAAATCATGCTGTTGGCTGCATTTACTGTGATATTTATTGTATCAGTATAATCCATTAATGCATCTGCTGCTTATGGCGTTGTCTGTAGTTAACAGCTTATTTAAATTGTATGTTACTATTGAGGCTTTTAAACCCAATTGGCTCTGAATATGTCAGTAGAAGAGATGGGTAGATTATACTATTATTGATAAAGAACACAATAAAGCAACAATTAAAACAGAAACATAAATGTAAACATAGCTGAAAATGTTAAGACTTTTTTTAGAGGGCTTGGCACTGAAAAGGCAAATTAAACATTAGGCAAACTAAAAAGGATGTCATTGAAAAGAGTATACTGGATCAGCAAACTGAAAAGCAGAAAATTTCTAACCAGAGATTTGAAAAGTTACTTTTTTGATCATATCTGCCCAAATCTTCCAGCCATATGACTGCTGGAAAAGAAGTTGGATGAACATCTGTCTTTTCTATCCAATTTTATTTATTTATTTATGACATTTATATCCCACCCTTCTCACCCCTAAGGGGACTCAGAGCGGCTTACAAGTTATATGTACATGCAATATATTATATTATTAGAATAGCACAAGATTAGCATTATATATTACTATACTGCACTATACCATGATACTGTAATATTATTAGTAATATTACATGTAATATAAAATATATAATTATTATTCTGTATTAGAATTAAATTGTACCATAATATTATGATCAATATTATTTGTACATACAATATATTATAATTATTGGCATAACACAATATTGTATATATTATATATTACTATATTGTACTATACCACTCTACTGCAATATTATTTGTTATTACACTGCAATGTTATTATTATTATTTTCACTGTATAACTGCATCATATTTATGCCATATGTCTAATATATAAGCTATATTGCTTACCTTATGATAAAATGCTGCTCCTGTCAGCACCATTGAAACTTCATTGGTCCATTCTGACTCATATTTCCATTTACTAGTTTCATGGTCCCACAAGTGCAGGCGACCAGGATAGCCAACTAATCTGTCAGGAAACTCTCTCCATACCTGAAAACAACAACCAAGATGTTATGATATAGTGGCATTGCTCTAATGGAACAATTTGATTTAGTAGGATTGTATTTTTAATCAGTTAACAGAGATAATACATTAATATTAGATAACAAGCACAGATAAGTCAGTGGACAAACATTCTCCATGCGGCAAACCACAGAGGTGCAAATCGAAGTTCCCTTAAGCTCTCTCAGAAACAGGCCTGAGTTTTATGTATCCCATAAAGTATTCTTAGCAATTTCTGCCTCCCTTGAAAAAGGCAACTCTACAAGTTAAAATAGCCATTTGCTTTTTTCAAGAAACACCGCAGAGAGATTCTGTCCTTGTGAGAATGGTGTGCTGTCTGTGCTGTTGCGCTAGGCACTATCACAGATGTATTGTTATCTTCTCATTTGTTGTGACAATGTGCCCCAGCCTCATGCTTGCCATGGCCTAAAGGCAAATTTGAGCTGACCTTCTGTCCATTTTATTGTGGCACAAGCACTGACTGCTACATGATCCTCTGCTGCCATTGCAGTTGTTAGTCATCTTCTTTTTGAGTACAGCTCTTTGTGAAAGAACCTCTTTCAGTAGATGCAGGAAGAAACTGTTTCTTTCATCCCATGGCAAGATGTCTCCCCCATGATCTATGCCACTGCTCTGTGAAATTGCTTTGAAGGATTTTCCACCTTAAGAACAGACTGATGGATTGTGAACACTGAAGGGAAGATGGGAACCATCACCTCTTGAATCCAGTTTCCATCTCTAGAAGAACCCAATTCGATTCTAATTTTTTCTCTGCCCCTCCCCACAAATCTGTTGACTTCCCCTGAACATATACTCAAACTACAACTTTCTCTCTCCCATTGTCTCACACAGCATATATTTTCAACATCTATCCAACCATGGGTACAGGATGTCAGTAGGATTAAGTTGTCAGGAAATTTTTAAAAAGCATTTGACACCATGACCCACTTGAGAATACTTGAGTGTTACACTAACCATGATATTAATGCCCATCAGATTTAGCAAAGAAACCAAAAAGAATCCTAGGCCCGTTGTATAATTTCACATATTCATACAGGAGTTGGACGGACACCTCTACACCAATGTGAAAGTCTATTTGTTCCTTATAGAAACTGACTATGTATATAAATAATTTAATTAAAATATACAATGCAATGTATTTGTAGCTCGGATTTTGCTATTTTAATATGCCCTTGTACATAATGGGACTTGAGCATCCACAAATTTTGGTATCCATGGGGAATCTTGGAACCAAGCTTCATTGGATATCAAGGGCCCACTGTAATGCTTGAACACTTTGTAAACATATGATTGCATGTCAATTCCAACAGCAATAACAACAACAATAATAACAATAATAATTTTATTTTTGTACCCTGCCTCCATCTCCCCAAAGGGACTCGGGGTGGCTTACATGGGGCCTAGCCCAATCAACACAGTTAAAATGTATCACATAAAATACAGAACAACAATATAAAACAAAATAAACATCATTATAAAAATATATAAAAACAGGCATCAAAAACCAACAACCAATTAAAAATTCAATTTCTCGTCATGGGTAGGTGGACAGGTACTACAATAATTTAGAAGAAAGGGCTAATGGATAAAGTACATGGATCACATGGTAGCAGTCAGGATAAGAGCAATATAAAATAGGTCATTTATAGCTTTGGATACAAAACAGCAGTAAAGTGTGAGGGCAAGATTTTGGGTCCTAGCTGGGACCAGCTATCTAGGGAACTGTATATCCATGTCTTTAGATCTTTGCGGAAAGTGGAAGGAGAGGATCCTAGCCTAATCTCCCCGGGGAGGGAGTTCCAGAGCTGGGGGGCTACGACCGAGAAGGTCCTTTCCCTCGTCCCCACCAACCGTGCCTGCAACAGAGGTGGAAGCAAGAGAAGAGCCTCCCCAGATGATCTGGGCAGTAAATCAAGGCACTAAAGATTTTTTAGGCATACTGTCATTTTTGTGATATATCTAGAAAACTGTCTCATAAACAATTCACACTGTTTTTCTTTGAAAAATGATTACGCCAAACAATGGTTTAAATCTAAGAAACAGTGAATCAGAACTTGATTCCCCCTGTCCTGCAGCTCTCAGCATCACTTGAAACTTGCCTCCAGAGAATTTCAGAACTTGTTGGAACAGGGTTTTAGGGTGCAGTAGAGATGGGGAACAGCCCCCTGTTCCATTGATAGATGTAGTTGCCTCAGCAGATTTATCCCCATTGGATCTTGGCCAAAAGAATCATAAAATTATTTCCTGACAATCTATGACACTTTCACCATTTCTTTTCAACAACCATATGTTCCCCTGCACCACTTCAGGTTTAAAATACGTAACAGTTTTTCATTTCATTCTCTGACAGATATGACGTTTGTAGTGGGTAAAAATATTCTAGTATTATGACTATCTCAAAAGACCAATCTTCATAAAAGATGCACAGCCACAAACAAGCATTTTATACAATCTTCACTTTTAAAAACAAAAATTAAATATTTGCAGACCTATTAAAATAACTCCAGTTTTAATATTTACATGAGAGGTTAACATGATTTTATATGGAGAAGTGCAATAAAAATACAAGAATTCTGATGTAAAAACATGTTAACAGTTACAGCCTAGGCCACATCTGGGTGTAAATGAGAGTCAATATTAATATTTCTTCTCTATCATTAAACAGGGAGATACTTAGAAATCAAAGGCATATGCTTTATGTGGTTCAATGTTCCTTACTGGGTGCTTTGGTGGAGCTGTCACTATGATTTCTTTGCCCTTGTCTTGTTCCTGCCACCTGGATATAATCAGGATGTGACTCCTATCACTTCATTACTCTACTAGTGAGGGTCACATTAAACCACAAGCTGACAGAAACAGACATAAACCATCATTAAGACATCTCCTAGGTTCAATATGAAAGTCAGCATGGTCTAATGGCTTAGGTGGACTTTGGCTCTTGAAACACACAGGGTGACCTTGGGTGAGTCACATCCTCTCAGACCAAGAAAACCTCATGATAGGTTCACCTTAGAATTACCACAAGTTGGAAATGAAAGCTCACAACAACTTACGGCTCTATATACTGATGGCTGCATTATTTAATGAATATTTTCAATGAGCAGCAAAGATGCAAAGATCCTGAGAACTCAAGCATTCTTAAATGTGTATTTTGGATGTTTCTAGGACCCAAGAGAAATGAGGGAACAACCTCCTCCTCCCTAGTTGCAGCCCACAAAGCCAGATCTGGGATGCCCAAAACCCTTCTAGACTCCGTTTTCAGCCAGTGTAGCAGGTCAAAGGAGGCGGTGGGAACAGAGAGAAGTTTTGCAATGATTTAGCACACTCGTAGATACACACACAGATTTTTAAAGCAGCAAACAGGTGCATAAAGCTTACACTCAGAAACCCAGAATCCCAGAGGGATGGAGTTAATCACTAAGTCCACATTTTTATTAGTGACTGACATTAAAATTTTAAAGCATTGCAATCCCCTGGACTCCAGGCTGTGTCCTTTGATTGACATCAAAGCAGCTGAAGAAGGGGGAAGTCAAAATGTTTTCCTCTAATATTTGTTCTTTTAGTAATGATGTATAAATAGACACACTGGCCCATGTTATGACTAGTTTTAATAATTTGAGAAAATGAATAAATCAATATGGAAAATACGGCTATATTTACTTGGAAAATGGAATCGATTTCTGCGTGTGTGTCCATCTTTTGTGATAAGTTGAGACTTTAGGGCAATATGAAAGTTATGTCCGTTATGTGCATGCAAGAATTTATTATATCAAACACTGCAAAGCATGAAGAGACATTGTGCATGTGTAAGCATACAGTGGACCTCCAGCTTCACAGGCAGCATGCCAGTAAATACCAGTTGCTGGGGTGGAACCATATTTAAGTGATAGAGACCATGCTTTGCATGCGTGAAGTCTCAGGATTAATCCCTGGCATCTCCAATTAAAAGGATCAGGTAGCAGGGAATGGCAGACCTCTTTGCTCACAGGGCTGCTGCCAATCACAGAAGATAATACTGGGTAGAGGGACACATAGTCTGACCTGGTAGGAAGTAGTTGCCTAAAAGCAGAAGAAGGTTCTTTACAGCCTGCCTTTGGATTCCAAGAGACATGATTTTCATCACTGCAAGTAAGATATTGCGACTATAGCTGATCTTATTTATTTATTTTGTTTAATATCTTGCCTTTTCTCCAGATAATTCAGTCAAGAATGTTCTAAGCAAAACACCTAAACACTTCTTTGGCACATTTATTCTCTTCCCCTTAGTTTATTTGTTCCCCACAATTCGCATTTACATGGTGCAAATACTGCTGGCTCATTCTTATATTTCAAATATTTTTAAAGGGTTTGTTTTGTGGCTCTTTTCCAATCCACTCTCCTCCTATAGTGGCACTGTTCCATCAACATCCCCCCCCCCCCCCCCCCCCCCCCCACACCCCTCTGGTGTGAACAGGATATGTAATGAAAAATGAGGAACCACTCCGTTATCACTTATCTGTGATGTTCTGCCCAGTGTTTTGGTATTGGTTGGCCTGTATGAGTGACTTCTTGCATCTACCAATGTGAAGGGGGAGACATGTAATGCCATAACAGTAGATCTTTCACTATAGGAAGGAAGGGAATTGTCTAAAGGTTGTTGGACTCCCAACTCACATTCTTCACCTTTGACCAGGCTATGAAGTATGGTTGGGCTTTGCAATACAATGACATCTGCAGAATTTCATCATTCCTGCATCTATGTTAAAAGAAGGTCAGGTTGGATGTCAAAGGACAAAACTAGAGAGCCGAATAAGATGGAAGAGGAGGTTGAAAATAAAATAAAAGTGAAATGAAAGTGAATGGTCAAAGGAGAAAAAGGCTATGGAAGAAAGTTAGGAAGTTGGGAACTGGCAGTCTCAACATGAAAGACCTTGCCAACTGACTAACATCATCACGGAATTAACAACAAGGGGATGAAAAACTGCCCT